TTTCTTTTACATCCTTTGCATAATAAAACAAAAACCTTTCTTTTCTTTTTCTTTGCAAATCATAAAACACTTAAAACTTTCAAATCCTTTCTCAAGGTAAAAAAGACAAACCAACACCTTTCTTTTCGCCAATCGGAATTTCTTTTCTAATAATATGTTAATTCCCTTTCGCTACAGGTCATAAGTCTCCAAAGGTCGAGCCGCGGTGGATTAATTCGAACCTAACATTGTTCAATTAAAAAACACAAAACAAACTGAAACATGTGAGTCGAACTACGGCTGCTCTGATTCCTTAAAAGGGATACGTAGGCATTGGGGTAGGGTCCGAACAAGCACAACTTTTATTTTCTCTACGTTGTTTTCTATTTTCTTTTGCATGCATTCCCTCTTTGAATTTTCTTTTAGCTATTAAGTTTAGATTTTAGCACACCCATAAGATAGATAATGAGAGTGGATACCGTAGAATACTATGGGCGTGTGGGGTGCTAATACCTTCCCCTCGCATATGGATGAGAAAGAGCAGTTTATAAAGAAGAAAAATAGTAGGTTGAAGAAGCTTCAAAATAACCTTGATGTAGCAAAATTGGAGATACTATCTTTAAAGGAAAGAAAGGATGGACTGAAACAAAAGATAAAGGGGTTACAAATTGAAATGAAGAAGATGATGAATTCCAGAAAAAAATGGAAAAGAATGTTTTGTATTTTGTTAATTGTGGTCATTTGGATGATGTTGTAATTTCCGTATCATTTTAAATTTGTATGTTTAATTTGTAACATTTTGTAATGAACTTTGGTGTTTCCAAATGTAACAAAGTATCATTTTGAATTAGTATGCAACAGTTGTAACACTTCTATTTTGTGTTTTCATTCACAATTATACCATAACATATACAAAATCAATTGAATAAAGCCAACAACAATATATCATTATAAGATGGTGGATACCACTATTATTCATAAATTACATCTCCAGAAAACCTGATATTACAGGTCCAAAAACCATACATTACATGTCCAAAAAACCTGATATTACAGGTCCAAAACACCATTAGATAGTACAGGTTCAAAACACTTTAAAATAGCTTAACTAAAGTTAACATAACTTAACATAACTATTACATTAAAGACATTAATCTAAGCTTTCCATTTTGGTGTAACTCTCTTAGTAGGTGTCGTCCTTCTTGTTGTTGGACCTACAACAGTTTTTGATGCATTCAACCTAATTGTTGGACCAGGTGGGATAAAAGGTGCATTTGGCCTTCTAATTTGCAATTTTTTGGATTTGGGATTCACTTTCTTGGATGATTAAGAAGCAGTTGGATGGGATGCTTAAGCTGGTTGAGATACCTGAGCTGGTTGGGATGCTTGAGCTGGCTGGGATGCTTAAGCTGGCTAAGATGCTTGAGCTGACTGGGATGCTTGAGCTGGCTTGGATGCTTGAGCTGGATGGGATGCTTGAGCTAGCTGAGATGTTTGAGCTGACTGAGATGTTTGTGCTGACTGGGATGCTTGAGCTGACTGTGATGCTTGAGATGACCGGGATGCTTGACTAGTATATGGTATCTTGCAAGCAAGCTTGTTGTGTCCTACTTTCTTACACATGCTACACTTTATAATGAATTTTGTCCTTCTCATTTTTTATCAGAACCATCTATCTCACCTTGCTCTAAATTCCTCCTTTTTTTGGCCTTCCAAACATTTTTCTAAATTTTTGGGGCAGAATATCAAGATACTATGTTCTCATCCACATGTTTGAGCCATTAACATGATATATTACAGGTTCGTACACTTGCATATATCTTTCTTTCCTCTAGTAATCAGGAATGTAGTCATCAATCTTGTGGTTCCTACTTTTGATTACTGCAAGTGAATGAACACAAGGCAGGCATGTTAGCTCCCATCTTCTACATGAACAATACTTTTCCTTCAAGTTGACTGAACTTTTCAGCTGAGTTTTCCAGATGCCTCACTTCAAATATATGCTCATCAAACATCCTAACATATAAATACACATTCCAAATATAAATACACTTCAAATATATACACTTTAAAGAAATTTTCCTGATAAGCCACATGTTTGTGCATGAACTTGTTTTTCCAACCTTCTTCATAATGTTAGGCAACACTTCAACATCTCCTAATTTCTGAAACCTCATCCTGTTTATATCCCATCTCTCCATCATGTATATCCTAATTTCTTCTACCATGGTTATCAACAGCTTGGCCCTAGACTCCAAGATGACACTATTAAATGATTCTGACATATTATTGAGAACAACATCACATTTGTTATCAGTCTTGAAGTATCATCTACTCCAAAATCTTGCAGGGGTGCTCATCATGTGTTTGTATGCTTCTCCATTGAGCTCTTTCATTATTTTCATCTCTCTTTTCCAAGCTTGGTAGTAAGTTGACTTGACAAATTTCCATATTATTTCCTTTAGTTTTTTTCTTGGATATATCTTCCTGAAGTTATTGTAGAGATGCCTAACACAAAACCGTTATTCAACTCTAGGCAGCAGTTCTTCCATTGCAGGCAATAATCCCTAAGTCATAAAAAATATAACGTGAGAATTTGTAACATGAAATACCTATCAATGCAAAATTAAAAATAGAGCCATACCTTTTGTTGATCAGAGATAAAAGTGTATGTGAGGCACTCTTCTCTTCCACCAAGATCATCAATAATCAGCTTTGAGAACCATATCCAGCTATCCTTGTTTTCACTCTCCACCGCTGCATATGCTATTGGTAGCATTTGATCATTGGGATCTTTGTCTATGACTGCAAGTATTTGACCCCCACAAAGGCCTTTCAAAAAACACCCATCAAGTCCAATGAAATGTCTGCTTAACTTAAATCTTTCCTTACAAGTTCCCAACATATGTATATCCTTTTGAAATGTAATTTCTGAACACCACCTTCTTGTGCAGGTTCGACATTCACTTTTACAGTTGACCCTGGGTTAGCTCTTAATAACTCGTGTGCATAGTTATATATCCTTGCATAATCCCCTATGAATGACCCATCAACCATATCTCTGGCTGCAAACCTATCCTTTATGACCTTGGTTTTGTTGACCCCCACATTCCACTTCTTCTGTACCTTCTCCTTAATGTCCTTAATTTTCATTCTAGGGTTGGTTTTAAGTGAATTCTGCAACCTCTTGCTTAACCATTTAGTCTTCATCAACTTCACATTATATTCTCTACTGCAACTATGAGTGTCTACTACCTTTCTTAGTTGCCAAGAATCATCAGTAGACAATTTAGCATAATAAGATACCCATTCACATCCTTCCTTACACCTAACCCTAATACTGGTCTTGTCATTTTTAATGAACTTTAAATTTCTGCCAGATTGAACTGCATAAGAGGTAATAGCTTCCTTGAAAGTTTATGCAGTACTAAAGTAGATTCCCACTTCCCATTTGTAATTGGACATATCCTTTTGAAGCTTGAAAATTGGATACTTCTTTCTCCTAACTCTACTGTTATCATCACTATCACAGTCACTTCCTAGATCATCATTTTCATTATCATTTCCTTTGCTATTTTCTTTGTTTGCTTCACACTTTTCTTTACCTTTTTTGCTTTCCACTTGTTCATAGTCAATTAGGTTACCCTCTTCCTCTTCCAATTCAGTGCCATACTCATCAGAGTTATCATCAAATACTACCTCCGTTGCACTATCATAATTGAAGGTGCTATCATCAGAACTATCATCATCATCATCAGTCAGTCTTACAACATCATCAATCTCACCAAACCTATGTCCAATATCATCACTTTCAACCTCACAAACCATTGGTACATTATCATCAGTTCCTACTGCATGAACACCATCCATGTTAACATTATCTTCTCTAACACCATCTTCCCTTACATCAATTTCATTCAACATCTCCTTAAGCACAACTTCTGCCTCATCAACTATCACATTAAGAGGTATCTCATCTAACACAACTTGAGTCTCATCAGCATAATCAGGCTTTGACAACGTGTGTTGAATAAAGACTTCAACACTAAGATGGACCCTATATAGATCAACAACCTCTAATGCCCCCTTTGTCATCAACCACCATATTCATCCCAACATTAGGATCCCTATAATATATATTTTCTACGTCTGCGTAACCTAGTTCTTTAATAGCACATATCAATTCAAAATAGCTCCACTTATCAACATCTACTCTCAAATCGGCAATCTCACTTCCTTCGTAAACACTCATGTCCTCAGTAACAAATTCACCAATATGGTGTATTGTAATGTTCAAATATTCATCCATTTCAGACTATGCCCTAAATGGACAAGAAGATATTAGATTTCAGAAATATTGGTTTCAAAAAATCCTAACTACAAAAATTATAATTTTGCAGAAACTTACCTACGATGAGCATTGTTGTGGTTGCTTCCACGTTCAAGAACGAAATGTGCCTTCGCTTCGCTCGCAGCTTCTTTGCAGAACAGAGCTGCCAACAATGGCTGCACTAGGATTAGCTTCAAAGTGTTGAAGATGTGTTATGATACTTTAATCCACCTGAACAGAAATATAAACACGTGCAATGCCACATATATGCCCCATATACTCTATCATTGACTTTGACTAACGGTCCAAACGAAAAGGAGAAACATGATCCTTTTTAAATAATTAAAGAACTACTTTAAAAATTTTTAAAGACAAGGAATCAGAATGAACTCCGATATAAAATTAAGAGACTAAAAAAGATGTTTTACCTCTTATTATTATTATTAAGAATTTCAAGCTTCTCTAGCACGCAATTTTCATTTTTCCATTTTCAATTGCGATTTTAGCGCCATATATTTAAAATTGTATTGGATTAACCCAATAAATATTTGAAGCTTTATCAAATTAAATTAAAATTTCCCTTTCGCAACCAACTCAGAGCACAAGCACATTCACCTTCCCCACTCCTCCTAGTCTTGAACCAGAACCCCCAAAATCTTCAAACAAACAAAAAATCCGAGTAATTTATCGAATGGAATCCAATAATCCTTACGAGATTCTCGACGACGATGATGTATGAAAATTGGTTACCACCTAGTTTCTTTACAATTTCAAACAATTTTTACTCTCTCAATTTTGTTTTTGTTTGATTTTTCTAGGGTTTTGATTGGGAAGCAGCTGCGAGAGAAATCGACGCGGTTTGTCAAATGAGAAGTGACGCGAAAACGAACGAAAGCGAAGCGGAAAAGGTTTGTCAAAAGAGGAAGGGGAAGGGAAAGGGAAAGCAATCGACTCTTGATAGTTTTGTTGGAATTGCGGAAAAGGAAAGTGAAACGAATCCAGTTCGAGAAAATGATGCTGAAGAATCTATCTGTGACCATCATATTGACAATGAAGCAGCCAAAACTTGGATATATCCAGGTACTAATGTACTGGTTGTAGTTGTTGTTTTTGATGTTTTTTCATTTAGGGTTTTTGAATATCAATGTTTAGGGTTGTTGCCGAGTCCCGAGAGGCGCGAGCCTTGGCACAACAGTAAGGTTTACATGGGGGTTGCAAGTTCAACTTTTTTAAAACAGTCTTTTCGTGTAAGATTAGACTTTGTATATCTACTCTCCCCAAACCCTACCTGCTGGGAGCCTCGTGAACTGGGCTGGTATGGCTGCTCTTATGTAGCAATGTTTAGGAGAGTAGATAAGATGGAGTAACAAAGAGCTTAGTAAGACCATGGAAAACTATGAGTATAAGTTTGGTGTTAAATGGTTTGTAATTGGAATTAGGTTGGTTTGAAATAGTTTTTTAGCTTATGAGAGCTTCTCAACTAAAAAAGTTAATGGTTCTTAAAAGAGGCTATAGTAGAAAAGATGGTGGAAAATAGTCTTCGGTGGTTTGGGCATGTAAGAAGACCTATAGATTATGTTGGAAGGAGAGTATATCAGATGGAGAGGAGTCAAATAGCTAAAGATAGAAGAAGACCTAGGAAAACTATGAGAGAAATTATTAAGAAAGATCTCGAGATTAACAATTTGGATAAAAGTATGGCTCTGGATAGAACATTATGGCGGAAGCTAATCCATGTTGCCGACCCCACTTAGTGGGATAAAGCTTGTTGTTGTTGGTTCTTAAAAGAAAGTCCTTATCGCCTTTAAGGAGAAGTTAAATGAGTTTCTAGAAAATCTGTGATGCAAAAGTTGATTTCAATTTTCAATTTTAACGTGAAGTTGTTGTTTAAAAGACTTGTGGTTATTATGTTGAGAAATTAATCCAAACTGGCTCTCAAATCACCTACATAATGGGAAGAGACTATTGTTATTGTTGTTTCATAAATAATATAGTTGATCCTTTAGTTGAAGAATTTCAATTTTGATCTATCACTTTTTGCAGTTAATGTTCCTCTCCGCGACTATCAATTCCATATTGCCCAAACTGCACTCTTTCAAAACACTCTGGTCGCCTTGCCAACAGGACTTGGCAAAACTCTCATTGCTGCTGTTGTCATGTATAACTACTTTAGATGGTTTCCTGAGGGTAATGAAATATGATAATTGTGCATTCACAAATTTTGCAGTTTTACCGTGTGTATCATATCAATATGTTACTTAACTCTCTAACTGAGAAAACCATCTTCTGATCAGATAAGCATTTACATCTGCTGCTTCCTTTTCGCAACAGGAAAAATAGTATTTGCTGCTCCTTCTCGACCACTTGTCATGCAGCAGATAGAAGCATGCCATAACATTGTTGGGATACCGCAAGTAACAACTTTTCTTAGAACTTATCTATTTGCATCTTTGCTTTGAAGAAATTTATGAAATAGCTATGTGAATTTAATTGCAGGAATGGACAGTTGATATGACCGGTCAGTTAAGTCCTCCCAAAAGAGCTCGTTTGTGGAAAACGAAGCGAGTTTTCTTTGTCACTCCACAAGTTTTGGAAAAAGACATTCATTCTGGTGATTTCTTTAAATTAGATAAACAATATTTCTTTGGGGATTATCATATGCTGTGATTTGTTTCATTTGACAAAGCTTTGTATCTTTATTTATTTATATGCATGATTAATTTATTTCAGGTAAGTGTTTGGTGAAGTACTTGGTATGTTTGGTGATTGATGAAGCTCACAGAGCAATGGGAAATTACTCGTATTGTGAAGCAGTTCGCGAGGTTTGATTTGTTCAGAGGTTTTTAGTACTTCTGGTCTTAACTCTATTTTGGCATTTAGTACTATATGTTCGTTCATTCTTATGCACAACTCATAACGGATTCGTCTATGTTATATTTTTTGGTTTCTAGTTAATGGCTGTACCAGTGCAACTAAGGATATTGGCATTAACCGCAACACCAGGATGTATATTTTCGATAGTCTGGGTTTTTTATTTCAGGTTTTTCCTTTAAAAAATTGTATTCTAAATCTATTTGTGATATACAGCCAAGCAGCAGACTGTCCAGGATGTTATTGATAATTTGCATATCTCCAAGCTTGAACATCGCAATGAAACTGACCACGATGTTATGCCGTATGTTCACGACAGGAAGATAGAGTTGATACAGGTAGTCCATGCTTGCCTATTTGGAAATTATAGTCATATTTTACACATTTTTTTAAAATCCTGTTACAATATTAACAGGTTGCAATGGGCCAAGATGCTGTAGAAATAAACAATAAGTTTTTGGAAGTGATACGCCCTATCGCAACCAAGCTTACTAATATTGGGGCAATTAATAGAGATTATCGTACTGTATGACTCTTTGTCTTCTCATTTCTTTTTCATTTTGTTTTAGTTTCAGATTGTTATACCGAATGTTAGAAAACAACTACATGACTTGTCATTAGTTTTTATTGAAGTTTTCTAGTGTCAGAAATATAGGAATTATTTCAGCCAGAGGATATGTTAGTTGCATACATAGGGATCCAATTCACTTTATGGTTATATAAGCAAGAGTAATTTTTCTTATATTTAAGTTCTTTTGACTGATTCATAAGAAAGTTAAGTTCTTTTGACTGATTCATAAGAAGTCGTTTTAATTATGAAGCATTTATAGTTTTACTAGTTGCTGAATACTTTCCTTCAAAACAGAGTTTTTTTTTTGAGTCTAATATGTCCTCTGCATTATAGCAACGATTAATGCTTGTAACCTAGTTAGAAGTAGCTTTGATTGAAGAGAAGATGTAATGAGAGATAATCTATAATCTTCTATGGGATTGTAGACATTATAAATACATGAATGCCTGCTGTATTTGAATTTGATTTTGAACATCAAATTGTTATCTAATGTCATGGATGCTCTAATGTATGGGTCCGTTTAGTAACAGTTCATAATGTGTTTCAAATTTCAATGAGCTAGAGAACTAATTTGTTGTCATAGCTAATGTGTTGCAAAACACCTTTGGACGATCAAAATACTTTTGGCTTGTTGAATCTGTGTAAATATATGGGTTTAGACTGTTGCAGGCTTGCAGCCTTTCAGGCCATGCTTTTTGTCTCCTTTTCTAGTTGCATTTATATGATTATCACATGTCTCCGTGTTAGTTATTATCTATCAGGTTTTCATGAATAACATTCCAAAGCATGCTGATTTTCGATAGCTTTCTTGCCTATTATTATTTGGGTTCATTGACTTCTCATGGTTGGCTGCCATATTGTTCTGTCTGTACTATCATTTGCCAAAATTACACAGGCTTGATGATATAGCTGAATCAATAACTGCTTTCTCTTTTCAATGCTTGCTGGCTGGCAGTTGAGCCCTTGTGTATTACTTGAAATGAGGGAAAAGTTTCGTCAAGGGCAGATGCAAGATCCTTCACATAACAACTACATAGATGTTGAAGGGTATTTTGGAGTTCTCATTACTCTTTATTACATCCACAAACTTCTTTCAAGTCATGGAATAAGACCAGCTTATGAGATGCTCGAGAGAAAATTGAAGCAAGGGTAGGCCTTTATGCATCCTTCCTAATTCTTATGAGCCCTTCTTCGTCTGTATGGTTCCTTTGTTGTGATAGAAACAAATAAACATAACAGTATTTGCATGGTCACATTCAGAAGAGTTCTATACAACGTCATTGGTAAGATTTTGGAGATAGTATCACTGGTAACTAATACTTGCTTGCATGTAGTCAAATTGATGGCCAAAACTTAATTACTTACTAGCGCACAGACGAACACTATTGTATTTGTTCCCGTCTGTCCAATTTTCTCGAATGAAAAGCATAGTCGGTCTTCATCATGAAAAAATTAAGATTTAAGTTTTGGTCGGAATTCTATCATTTAGTATTGTTATCTTTATTTCAAATTTGAATTATGGTTAATTTAGATTTGTTTTGTTATAATTGTTCTATTGATTATATAAGAAGTTATTTAAAATATAAATCAGGAATAGCTGAAATTTGATTTGATTTAAATTTGAAATTAGGATAAAATTCAATTATTTATTTAGATAAAGAAGGCTAAAGTTGGTAGAAAAAAGCTACACCCAAACTAGGTATTCCTTTTATATATAAGTACAGATAAAGTCATCTAGATTTGTGACCATAGTTGATATGTATGTAGGTTTTTCGCAAAATATATGAGTAAAAATGAAGATATTCTGAAAGCAAGGCAACTAATGCACCAAAGCTTGTCTCATGGAGCGTCAAGTCCCAAGTTGTCCAAAATGCTAGAAGTATTACTGGAGCATTTCAGTAAGTATAATTCTGTTTGCCAAGTGTCGAGTTTAACTTCTGTGAAATATCTAGGGAACTAGTATTTTCCTTCTTGCTTCTTACACTAATTCAGCACAAAAGATTTACATCCTTAATGAAATAATATAAGAATTACTTCTCACAGCATTTTCAGGCCTAGAAAATTAAGTTACAACGATTGACTTTTTTCATGCTTTATCATTAATTTTGTTTATGGTTTTTTCATGCTTTAATTTTCCATCAAAATTGACTATGGCGTCTTGTGACATAAATGGTCTTGCATTAGGATTTTAAAGAGAAATTAACATGCCACCTCCCATTTTTCTAAATGCCAAAAATGCCCCTGAACAGATTAGGGGGTGGCAAAGAATGAAATTTCCGTTATGTTTTTCAGAATTTTTTTTCCAGTACTGGAAATTTCAATGTATAATTCGTGGGGGTGGCATGTTAGTTTCTCGATTTAACAATAATTTAACGATAACAATTGGAAATTCCGCCTTCATTGCGGTACACCCCTATCGCCTAATTGAGGCATTTGACCTGCCTTCATTGCAACCTCCAACACTTTCATTGTGTTGGATTTGAAGTAGGGGTGAATTTATATGACACGTGTAGTGTTTATAAGTGGGGCAATCAAATGTAGTCATAATTGAGATCCTACATTGGATCGGGGAGGGGTCACAATGTTAGATCTTAACCTAACTCATCCTTACAAAACCGGCTTGTAAGGTGAGGGATGTCATTCTATATGCTCTTTCAAGACTCTATCTCTAACCAATGTGGGACTTGAGATTTTTCCAATACACCCCATCGCTCTCAACATTCTTTTGGGTTTGGTGGGTTGATATAAACAGTGGGCGGCACATGGTCCGGTTGATAGACTCTGATATTAGAGTTTGACCTAACTCATCCTTACAAAACCGATTTGTAAGGTGAGAGGTCTCACTTTATATAAACTCTTTTAAGGCTCTATCTCTAACCAATGTAAGACTTGGGATTTTTCCAATACACAAGATCGTGAATTGGGGGATCGTAACATAGGAGATCCTTCCAATTTTGCAAACTTATATATATTGCATGTTTATTCATAAATGTGCATATAAAAAACATAAATGCCAGAAACACTAGAAACACATCGTTTTACGTGTTTGGATGGCGATCCCACCGATCCTACCCAAACCCGAGTTTCCCCTAAGCAGAATCTCTAGGCTTAGCAAAATTGTAGAATTGGACTATCCTACGAGTAGGATTGCGATTCTAACTACCATGACAATCTTCACCTTACTAAACTTTTTTTTGTAGGGATGAGTTAGGCCTAACCCAAATTTTGAGATAGTATCAGAGCCTATCCTAGATCTATTGTAGGGCTTTCCGCATTGTCCAAGCTTCATGCTCAGTGGAACCTGAACGCGAGTGGGTGTGTTGGAAATTCCGGCTTCACTGCGGTCTGACCCACCTAATTGCGACATTTGACTTGTTGTCTTCATTGCAACCTCGAACACCTTCATTCTGTTGGATTCAAAGGGTGCGTTTAGTTTCACATTGGTTAGAGATATAACTTGTGTAGTGCTTATAAGTGGGTGCATGTTAGTTTCTCGATTTAACAATAATTTAACGATAACAATTGGAAATTCCGCCTTCATTGCGGTACACCCCTATCGCCTAATTGAGGCATTTGACCTGCCTTCATTGCAACCTCCAACACCTTCATTGTGTTGGATTTGAAGTAGGGGTGAATTTATATGACACGTGTAGTGTTTATAAGTGGGGGCAATCAAATGTAGTCAGAATTGAGATCCTACATTGGATCAGGGAGGGGTTACAATGTTAGATCTTAACCTAACTCATCCTTACAAAATCGGCTTGTAAGGTGAGGGATGTCATTCTATATAAGCTCTTTCAAGACTCTATCTCTAACCAATGTGGGACTTGAGATTTTTCCAATACACTCCATCGCTCTCAACATTCTTTTGGGTTTGGTGGGTTGATATAAACAGTGGGCGGCACATGGTCCGATTGATAGACTCTGATATTAGAGTTTGACCTAACTCATCCTTACAAAACCGATTTGTAAGGTGAGAGGTCTCACTTTATATAAACTCTTTTAAGACTCTATCTCTAACCAATGTAAGACTTGGGATTTTTCCAATACACAAGATCGTGAATTGGGGGATTGTAACATAGGAGATCCTTCCAATTTTGCAAACTTATATATATTGCATGTTTATTCATAAATGTGCATATAAAAAACATAAATGCCAGAAACACTAGAAACACATCGTTTTACGTGTTTGGATGGCGATCCCACCGATCCTACCCAAATCCGGGTTTCCCCTAAGCAGAATCTCTAGGCTTAGCAAAAATTGTAGAATTGGACTATCCTACGAGTAGGATTTCGATTCTAACTACCATGACAATCTTCACCTTACTAAACTTTTTTTTGTAGGGATGAGTTAGGCCTAACCCAAATTTTGAGATGGTATCAGAGCCTATCCTAGATCTATTGTAGGGCTTTCCGCATTGTCCAAGCTTCATGCTCAGTGGAACCTGAACGCGAGGGGGTGTGTTGGAAATTCCGGCTTCACTGCGGTCTGACCCACCTAATTGCGACATTTGACTTGTTGTCTTCATTGCAACCTCCAACACCTTCATTCTGTTGGATTCAAAGGGTGCGTTTAGTTTCACATTGGTTAGAGATATAACTTGTGTAGTGCTTATAAGTGGTGGCAGTCCTCACCTTACAAGCTAGTTTTGTAGAGATGAGTTAGACCCAACTTAAACTTTGAGAATAACATTTAGCTATTTAGCTTTACAGCTCCAGTCTTATGAAAAAGACGTTCCTTAGGCTTCTTTCGCATTGAGCTAGTATGCTAGGGAGGATAGAAATTTCTTTTCGTAGTTTGTGAAATTTGTGAAATTTAAGATGAAGTTTGGAATAATGACCAATTTCTTTTTATTGTTGTGTTCCTCTAAATGATATTTTTCCTGAATTTTCCAAATTACCTCTAAATGATATTCTCATATATTGTTATATGCTTATCAATTGCATGATACAAGTTTCTTTCCATTTGATCTGTTAGCGTAAAGACTATGGAATATTTTGATATGTGATATAAGTTTTAAAAAATGTTTATCCATGGTACTTCCATTTGGAATGATGTCAACTGTGAAGTGGAAAGTTGAACAGAATACCACAGAAATGAAAACCTTCATTTTTTTTTGTAAAAAGTCGTCACTGGTGGGGATTCAATCAGTATAAATCTGATTGAATTTTATTTTATTAGTTTTGGTTTTGCCAGGGTAGCAAGAAAGGAATCAATCATCTTCTTTTGCTTTTTCTAATCCAAAGTTTTTATTGGCACCAAAATTGTTCTCTGTAGTGTTCTTGTTGATGCTATTTCTCTCATTTGTCTTTTGTCAAGGACTCAATGTTATGATTTCTCTTCACAGGCCGAAAGGAAGGTTTAGAAAAGCTGAAATTTGATACTAGTTCTTAAAAAATTCTTTCAAACAAAAAGTTTATTCCCAAACAGCCTTAAATTTTTTGTATAAATTTTCTGTCATCTATATTCGGCACAGGCTGTAATTTCAATAAGTAAAACATTGTGGCTGAATCTCAGTTTGATTTTTTGTTTTGCTAAAAGCCGGGCTATTTTCACTAGTCTTTAATGTCAGATGATTTACAACGAGTGTGTATTCATTAGTGAAAGATATATTTGGATGTTGTTGCAGAAACCAATGATCCACAAAACTCCAGGGTGATTATTTTCTCCAATTTCAGAGAAAGTGTAAGGTAAAGTTAAATTGGATCATTTTATTATCTTATTCTAAGGGGTTATTTGGAACTTTTAACAATTTGAAAAGTTGTTGGGTTAATTCAATGCAATCAGGGACATAATGGTTGCAATTGGAGGTATCGGGGATCAAATTAGAGCTACCGAGTTTATTGGTCAAAGTTCAGGTATTTATGAATTATGATGGTTCTTTTGATACATGTGTTCTCAAGAATGTATCTTAGCTACAATATGACCAATGGAATTGTTGTTTGCATAAACTAGAGTAATATGTTCCTTTCCTATATGGTGATTGTATGAAGTCATGAAAGTTCATTCGTGAGAATTACTTTCCCAAGAATATAATTGACAGAAATCCTATTCCTGTGCGGTAACTTGAAAAAAAGTGTTTGGAAAATGGTTTTTAAAAGTGGGGTTGTAGAGGTAGTTATAAATAAGAGCAGAGAACAGAGAACAGAGAACAGAGTAGGAAATGCAACAGAGAGAATCAGTCATTCGCGAGAGAAGGGTGGTCACAAAGAAGATAGGTGGTTGGACACGGAAAGCAGCTATGTAGGTTATGTGAGAAGAGTAATAGAGTAGTTTACTAATATGCCCTTCATTTTATCTTTCTATTCTGTTTTGCTGAGCTGTCAGGTTTGTTAGTGGTGTGCTGTTAGCTTGTTATGGCCTCACACCTTTTCTGCTTTGTATCACATGGCTATATAAAGTAGCCTCTTGTATTACTGTTTAATTAGATAATACAATGAGAGTTTCTTTTCATTTTCTCTCTTTACCTATTTCTATCATGGTATACAGAGCATAATTTTTTTTCCGATCCATGGAACCTTTATTCCCTTCCTCTCAGGTGAAACTTTCTCACCTAATTTCTGTTAAGCTTGACGACAAGAATTTCAAACAGTGGAAGCAGCAGATTGATGGCGTCGTCCGTGGTCATCGTCTTCAACGCTTTGTCACTGTTCCGGTGATTCCGCCACCGTCTCCCTCAGATCCTGCATCTCACAGTGCGTTTCTTGAGTGGGAACAGCAGGATGCTCTCATTTGCACCTGGCTTCTCTCTACCATCTCCGATGCTCTCCTTCCTAAGCTCGTTGACTGCAAGCATGCGTGGCAGGTGTGGACAGAAGTTCATCGGTACTTTGATGTTCTTCTCTCCACCAAGGCTCGTCAACTTCGTTCAGAACTCCGGCGTCTTACGAAGGGTTCACTAACGATTACTGAGCTTATGACGCGTTCACGTGACATCAGTGAGTCGCTAACCTCCATCGGTGATCCCGTTCCTCTTCGTAACCTCATTGAGATTGTTCTTGATTCGTTACCTGAGGATTATGATTCTATTGTCGCCGCCGTTAACAGCAAAGATGACGTTAGCTCCTTGGAAGAGTTGGAGTCTTCCTTACTTGCTCATGAGTCGCGATTGGAGAAGCATCGCAAAGCTGCGATTACAGAACCGGCGACGGCGACGATCAATCTCACTCAAGCAACACCTTCTCCCACTCCAGTCGCTTCTGATCAAGTCATCTCCGAGGCGTTTCCTCAAGGAACGAGTCACGTCACCGCTAATGCTGAAAATCATTCCTATGGTGCACGTGGTGGTCGTTCTGGTCGCGGTGGTGGTCGTTTTGGTCGTGGAGGAGGTCGTTTTGGGAAATCACCGTGTCAGATTTGTCACAAACCTGGTCATGATGCTTCAGTATGCTACTATCGTTATGCCAATTCAAGTGGTGCTAGTTATCCACATCATCGAGCTCCCTTCAATCCTTTTCACGTGGCTCCTCGTGCTGTTTATCCTGTGCAGCTTGCTTATGCTTCTCCCAGAGCTGCGCCTCCCAGATCTTCTGCACCACAAGCCTTTTATGCAGGTACTGAAGCTAGCAGTGCAAACCAGTGGTGGTATCCTGACTCAGGAGCTTCTCATCATGTTACTCCTGATGCCTCTAATGTGTCTGACTCTGCCTCCGTGCCTGGAACTGAACAAGTTTTCATAGGTAACGGCCAAGGTTTGTCCATCAACTCTGTAGGTTCTATGTCTTTTCCCTTACCTCACAAACCTCATCTATCTCTCACTCTTAACGATCTCTTACATGTCCCTCACATCACCAAAAACCTTATGAGTGTGAGCAAATTTGCTCAAGATAATTCTGTATTTTTTGAATTTCATCCTAAGTTTTGTGTTGTCAAATCTCAGGCTACTTCTGAAGTCTTACTCAGTGGTCTTGTTGGTGCTGATGGCCTCTATAAATTCTCCAATCCAGCTGCTCCTCCGTTGTCCAAATCTTCTTCCTCTTATAGTTCTAGTCATAGTTATCCTGCAGCATACAATTGTAATACTTCCTATAGGACGGATGTTATAGATTCTATATCTCAGTGTACTGAATCTGTTGCAAATCATACTATAAATCCTTTGTCTTCTTGTAATGAATCTTGCAATTATAATGTTACAAGTACCTTTTTCAATCCTTCTCTAAACTCTGTCAGTACTGTTTTACCTTCCTCACACTTTAATGCTGCAAATTCTATTGCATCCAATAAATATGTGCTTTGGCATACTAGGCTGGGACACCCCAATCATCATGCCCTCACTGAAATCTTCAAACTGTGTAATCAATCCTTTCCATCTAAACCCCCTGCTGAGTTATGTCACGCTTGCTGCATTGGCAAGTCTCATAGACTTCCTTCTTCTTTATCTACCACAGTTTACTCTCATCCTTTTGAGCTGGTTGTATGTGATCTTTGGGGTCCTGCCCCTATGCAATCTTCCAGTGGTTATACCTATTTCCTAACCTGTATTGATGCCTTCTCTAGGTTTGTTTGGGTTTTTCCTCTCAAACTTAAGTCTGACACCATGGTTCAATTTCTTCAGTTTAAGAAAATGGTTGAACTTCAGTTCAATTGTCCCATTAAATGTGTCCAAACTGATGGGGGAGGTGAGTTTAGGCCTCTTACCAAATATCTCACAGATTTAGGGATTGTTCACAGATTCACTTGTCCCCATACACATCACCAAAATGGCCTTGTTGAACGTAAGCACAGGCACATTGTTGAGACTGGTCTCACACTCCTTGCTCAGTCCACCCTTCCCTTAAAATTCTGGGATCATGCCTTTGTCACAGCTGCATATCTCATTAACAGACTTCCTACACCTATACTTGACAATGTCTCACCTTATTTTAAATTACTTCACAAAAACCCTGACTATACTATCCTTAAAGTCTTTGGCTGTGCATGTTATCCTTTTCTCCGTCCCTATAATTCTCATAAACTTGATTTTAGATCTCAACTGTGTATTTTCCTTGGATACTCTACCTCTCACAAAGGCTATAAATGCCTTGCTTCAGATGGTCGCATTTTTATTTCCAAGGATGTTGTTTTTAATGAAGCAAATTTTCCTTATTCCACCTTGGTTTCTTCTTCAAAATCTGTCTCTCTTCCTAACACTCCATCCTCTTCCTCTCCCTCTCTCAGTTTTCCTCCTGTTCCCTCTGCTCCCTCTACTTCTAATCTGTCTTCTATGCCTTCTTCTTCCTCAAATTCTGCTTTTCCTCAACTTAGCAGTCCCACTATTTCTAATTTTTGTCCAATCTCTTCTTCCTCTTCCTCTGCTGCTCCCTCTAACAACTCTTATTCTTCTGGTCAGCAACCTATCCCTCAACCTCTCACTGCCATTCCCATTACCTCTTCTCCTTCTTCCTCTCCTGCCCTCATTCTCTCTGATCCAGCTGAAGCTAGCACTCTTTCTCCCTCCTCTTCATATTCCTCTCCTTTAGTTGGTCCCTCCCCTGGCCCTAGTCCTATTTCCCACCCTGCTGCCACAGCTTTACCTTCCATTCACCCTCAAAACATCCACCCTATGCAAACTAGAGCCAAAAGAGGAATCACTCTTCCTAGACTTCACCCTACTCTATTAATAGCCCACCTTGAACCTACATCTGTTGAGCAAGCCTTGGCTGCTCCTAACTGGTTTCAGGCCATGAAGGAAGAACATCAGGCACTGCTGAGAAATCAGACCTGGACTTTGGTGAAAGCTCCTGCTGGAAGGAAGCCTATTGGATGTAAGTGGGTGTTCAGGACTAAGGAGAATCCTGATGGTTCCATAAACAGGTATAAAGCCAGATTAGTGGCTAAAGGGTTCCATCAAAAGGCTGGTGATGATTTTCAAGAGACTTTTTCTCCTGTCATTAAACCTGTTACTGTGAGAATTGTTCTTTCTATTGCTGTTACAAACAGGTGGCCATTGCAGCAGATTGATGTTAACAATGCCTTCCTCAATGGCACTCTTGAAGAAGAAGTCCTTATGCAACAGCCCCCTGGCTTTGAAGTTGCTGACAGAACTCTTGTTTGCAAGTTAAATAAGGCTATTTATGGTTTAAAACAGGCTCCTAGGGCCTGGTTTGATAAGCTAAAGTGTGCCTTGGTTCAACTCGGGTTTAAGGCTAGTAGATGTGATCCTAGCTTGTTTTTGTTGCATCAAGGTAAACTTCAGATTCTAATTCTGGTCTATGTTGATGATATAATCATCACGGGTAGTTCTGCTCCTTTTATAGCTTCCTTGATCAAGCATCTCAATAATTCTTTCTCTCTCAAACAGCTGGGACAACTTGATTATTTCCTAGGGATTCAAGTGACTCATCTCCCTAATGGTTCTCTTCTCTTATCTCAGACTAAGTACATCACAGATTTGCTTTCAAGGCTTAATATGTTGAATGCCAATGGCATGCCTACTCCCATGGTCTCTAGCAGCAAATTGTCCAAGGTTGGGTCTGCTGCGGTTGATGACCCTACTCAGTTTCGGTCTGTGGTTGGTGCCCTTCAATATGCTACCTTAACTAGGCCAGAGATCTCTTTTTCAGTCAACAAAGTCTGTCAGTTTTTGTCCAATCCTTTAGAGGATCATTGGAAGGCTGTTAAAAGAATCTTAAGGTACCTAAGTGGTACTCTGCACCATGGTCTTCTCCTTCAGCCTGCTCCTATTCAGCAACCAATGCAGTTGCTAGGGTTCTGTGATGCAGACTGGGCATCAGACCCTGATGACCGGAGATCTACTTCAGGGGCCTGCATATATCTTGGGCCTAATGTTGTTTCCTGGTGGTCCAAGAAGCAACAGCTTGTTGCAAGGTCCAGTGCTGAAGCGGAATATCGCAGTATGGCTCAGCTAGCTGCTGAACTCATTTGGATTCAGTCCTTGCTCAAGGAACTCCATTATTCCTCTCAAGTTCCTAAGATCTTGTGTGATAACTTGAGCACTGTTACTTTGGCTCACAATCCTATTCTTCACAACAGGACTAAGCATATGGAGCTTGATATTTTCTTTCTGCGAGAGAAAGTACTCAGCAAAAGTCTGACTGTTGTTCATGTACCAGCTCAAGATCAATGGGCTGACATTCTCACTAAGCCCCTCTCTGCTGCCAAGTTTGTTCCTCTTCGTTCCAAGTTGCGTGTGTATGATAAGGCTGCTTTGACAAGTCTGCCATCAGCTTCTAAAGGGGACTAATAGAGTAGTTTACTAATATGCCCTTCATTTTATCTTTCTATTCTGTTTTGCTGAGCTGTCAGGTTTGTTAGTGGTGTGCTGTTAGCTTGTTATGGCCTCACACCTTTTCTGCTTTGTATCACATGGCTATATAAAGTAGCCTCTTGTATTACTGTTTAATTAGATAATACAATGAGAGTTTCTTTTCATTTTCTCTCTTTACCTATTTCTATCAAAGAGCATTTGTTTGTTTTAGAGTGTGAATGCATGTATACATGATTTTTGTATTTGGGTTTGGGTTTGACGGGTCATGGGTACTGAAGATGGGTGCTGTTTGTGTTGCCCATCTCCTTTCTTTTTGTTTAATCCACTGCCATTTCAATACAGGATTTTTTTTCAATGAAGCAAAGATTCATGCAATATTTATATGGGATATTTTAGTTTCACGAACACCTGCTATTCTCTTACACTTCTAACAACATAATAATTCTAACACCAATTTCTTTCCAAATTCTAATAAATATTGTGATGCATCAACTTTGCTGTTGAATTTTTTAATGAATAATCAGAAAGTAAAGTCAGGTTTCAAGGAAAAAGAAATATAAGAAACCCTTCTTAGCTAATATAATACAAAGGACACAAAAACCCAACAAATATTATCTCATCAAATCAAATTAGGCTCCTTGCTAATGAAACTTCAAAACTTATGTCCATGCATTGCTTTTTATTTGGTGAGATTTCATAAAACACGTCGTAATTTGTGTTCGCTCTTAAATAATTACTAACCATTGTTGACATTTGCATCTTTTTCTTCTGTGTATATGAACGGAAAATCTGTTATCCTTCAACCTATATTTTATTCAATTTTTTTCCTTCATTATTTTAAATTTCTGTGTTCATAAAATGAAATCTTCGCTTTTTATGATTTACAGGAAAAACAACGAAAGGTCAGTCCCAGAAAGTTCAACAGGCCGTGCTTAAGGTATTTAATCTATTTGGAATAAAATCTGTACTCCTTACATATATACTTAAGTGGTCAACTTTACTGACAGAAATTTCGGTCCGGTGCCTACAATGTCATTGTTGCTACATCAATTGGTGAAGAAGGTCTTGATATCATGGAAGTTGATCTTGTCATATCTTTTGATGCTAATATTTCACCACTTAGAATGATTCAGCGAATGGGGAGAACAGGAAGAAAACATGATGGCCGAGTTGATATCCTTTGATTGTCAATTTTTGATGTTTCTTGGCAATTGCTACTGTTGAGAAAGAAAATAACATTCTTGATGTCCTCTAGTAATAATATGTTGAGAGTTGCAATAGTATTTAGTGTTTCTGAAAAGTTTTGATTGTTTATTACAATGATTCTTTAACAATTATTACTAGTTTTGGCTTGTGAAGGGGCAGAGTTGAAAGGCTACTTGAAAAAAAAGGCAAAGAGCAAGACTATAACTAAACACATGCGAAATGGGGGCATAAATAGCTTTGTCTTTCATCCCAGTCCAAGGATGGTTGGAAATCATCTGTAGCTTCTTTTCTTTGTTGTTTCAGTTTTTATCATTATCTTCTAAATCCTTCTAACTTCTTTTGTAGATTCCCCACATCTTTAAACCTGAAGTTCAATATGTTGAACTGTCTATTGAGAAGTTTATTCCTCGTCAGAATAATGTGAGAGAAAACCATCTTCAAACTTCTGCATCCAAAGACGAACTCACTCTTGCTGAAACTGATTTACTCGGAAAATATTTTCACTCTACTGGAGAAAATAGATGTAGATTGTCTCTTATCGCCTTCCCTCACTCTCAGACATTTCCTTCTAGAGTTCATAAAGTGAAGCATTCCTGTGGAACATGGATGTTTATAGACATGATGCAACGTTTGCAAGGACTGGCAGCATGTGCAGGAAATAACGAAAATTCTACTCTTCAGGTTCTACATTCTTTCTGTATTAGTTCTATATCGTACTAAACAAGACCTTAGTCGTACTGTGATCAATCCTTTTTCGTTTAGTTAAATTGATACATCTATCTGTTTAATTCAGGAAGGAAGGTGTTTAGAAAATAGTAAGCCACTTGTCAGTACTGAACTTGATGAAGCTAAAAATGGTAATATCATCTGTTTAATTTTCATTCCTTAATTTTATTGCCAAACCACAAATAACAAGTTTCTAATCAAGACATCAGTAAAAGACATTATTAAACATTCATTATGATTCTGGAATTGGAAATATCTGCATGTCAACCTTGTTTTCAATGAAATTGCCAAAAATTTCTTTCCCTAGCATGCTATTATTCCTCATATTGGTTCAACCTTGTTTTTAACGAAATTGTCAATATAGCAACAGAAACGACAAAAGAGGTGTTTCTGTATTTTTGTATCTACTTTTTAAAAAATAATTCTGACTGGCGTTCGTCGTAAAGGCCTTTTTTGTAAAGATTTTGCAAATATCAGTTAACATTTGAAATTTGAGAAAACACTAATGGGAGGTCCTGTTTTTTTATTTCTATTCACTATTTCAGACAATAGGGATACAATGGGAAGAAATATAGATTCTGAAAATTGTCTGAAGGTGGATTCCTGTCATATGGAAATTGAAGACTTTGTTGATCTAACTCTACAAGATAATACTTTCTGTGACACGGGTGAGTGTCAAGAGGAAACAGCTGATGGTGATGAGACAATTCCTGAGACTCCAGATGCTAAGAGGAATTTGTCAAATGAAGGAGCTATTGCCACTGAAATAGCAAATTCTGTTGAGAAACAGACTTCTTCACTGGCTGCAGATGCATGCGATAACGGCATGAGAGATGAAGAGCTTAGCCCTCGTTTAACTAATTTGATTATAAGTGGTGTTGTTCCCGAGTCTCCCATTGAGGAAAGAGGTGGGTGTCTTCAATGTCAAATTGTGACTGTGTACAATATATGAAAGTGATAACTTTGTTGGTTGTGGTTATGTTTAAATAATTTGCTCTGAAGCAAATTGAATTTTTCAGGGAAGTCAAGAAACAAGTTTGTCATCCGAGGCTGTATTTCACCAGTTCATCTCCAGGAACAACAAAATGCCGCCTCTTTGAGTTGTAGGGAAACTGAAAATGTCATCATTGATAGTGACAATGGTAAAAACGTATGTACTTCCCCTGTTAATGATAGTGACAACGGTAAAAATGTATGTACCTCCCCTGTTAATGAAACCCAAACCCCTTTGCTTGAGCTGAAGAATTGTGCGATTAGAAGAGGACGAGTCTTTGTTTCTCAAATTGAGGAAAGGCATATGCATATTGTTGATCCAAGCATCAGTGAAGAATCACATCCAAGTTGTGGTGAAATGTCTGTAAGCATTAAACCTGCTCGCAAATTTAAAAGGTTGAGGAAAATTGAAGATACTGAAAGTAATATGAATCAGAAAAACAATAATATTTTTGATTCAACAGCAAACTTTTCAAAACCAGCTCCTGCCACCAATCGCAAACGATATAAGCATGGCCAAGGTGATTTTAGTTTTATTGGTGCATCTTTTGTTCCTTGCTTTATTTATGGATTGTAGATTGTAGCTCATATCTTTTGTTTTCATGAAATTAAATTGGAAGTACATTTAACAGATTGTATTCTGTAAAACTTACGGCAGTGTTGCTTCGCTTTTTAATTTTAGGTTTAAGGAAACCAGCTAATGTGAGAGTAAGAGACTTCATTGAGGAGGAAGCTGAGTAAGCTTATTCTAAAGACTTAATGAATTTTGCATTTCTCATCCTGTTATCATTTTTTGGCAAACTAAATTTTATTATTATAGTAACCATATGTTTTGTTGATGCTTCAAAAGATATTACATGTAGAATAATCTGTTTATCATGGATATTTTGCGGAAAATATCCAATCTCATGATCTTTTCAACTTCATCAGGGTATCTTCAGATGCCTCCGTATCTAATGATGAAGATGCCGAGGATGACAATTCTGTTGACAGTTTCATAGATGATCAAACTAACCTTACAGCAGTCACTCAGCCTGGAGCTAGTAGAATGGACATGATGGCAATTTACAGGTAGTTTTACATTACTTATCTTATCTCTTTCCAGGTTTTTCTTAAGTAGCCTTAGCCTGCAATTGTATCATCTTGGTATTAAAATGAACCACTAAATTCACCTTAAAAAACTATTTATAAAGCAAAATTATCATACATTCTTTTCTTTATTCACATATTTTTCTAAATTTGAGAATAAATAACAGTAGTGAACAAGAAATGTCAAGGGAAAAGTTCAGCTTAGTAAGTCTTTGAGAATGACTTTTCAGAGAAAAAATTAGCCAAAGTCATGATTTTTGGTTAATTCAGTTGTTACTTAACCATCAATTATTTTCTGAACATGAACACTTTTGGGTTGGGTCAATTATTCATTCCTAAGTTTACCTTTTTACCATAACTCTGAGGAACATTAATATTTGTGATAATGAGAAGCATTTTTTGAAAATGAATTTAAGTAAGATAATTTTATCAACAATGAATCAAGGCCTAATGAGAAATAAAAAAGCATGCCAAGTGTGCCAGCTCTTTTATATATTACTGGTAAACCGGATATTCATTTTACTGTTCTATAATATACTACAATATTCCTGGTTAACTAGAGCAAGATACCACTTGCTCCCAACTTTCATTAACGAACTATTGACACTATCCTTGAGGTTTGTTGGGACTTGAGAGTCCTATATTAGGATGGAATATGGCTTGAAATATGGACTCAAGATTTCATTTATCATCAAATTTTTTTATTGTGATCTATGCGATGCTGAAAATATGTGTTGTTAAGTTTAAAATTTTTAATGAATGTGCAACAAAGTCTGTTATTAACTTGGTAAAATGTTAGCTATCATTTCATTTGGCAAATATATGGTCTGCTGTCAGGTGGAGATAAGAAATTTATCATTTGATGAGTCAAATATTAGTTTTCTTTTTTCTCGAGAAGGTCCAACATAAAAAACACTATTTCAATATTGTAAGAGGTAAAATAAGATGTTTTGAGGGTTGGGATCTATAGCTCGCGGTCATCCTTTCCCGTCCATATCTAGGTGGCTGGGTTACTTCTCTGTTTTGGACATGATGCGTGCAATTAGTTCCCGAAGCTTAATCACCAATTTAAGACGCTATTTTTCTCCAAATGAAAAAAATATATGAAAGAAGAAATTTTGTATGAATATATCTGTTGCATCACTCTACTGCAGATACTCAAAGGTTTAAAAACTTAGCAAACTATAGTCTATAAGCTTGAGATGAATATTTTATGTATGCAACAGAACAAGAACATTAATGCTTTTCTAATTTAGCTTGCAATATAATCAATGCTTTGTGACATGGAACTCTGAACTAAATACTAGTTATTAATAACTTCATGTTAAACCTGCATAATTAGAATGAGGTCTGTTGCAGGCGTTCATTGCTCAGTCAAACACCGATTAGTGGAGGGCCCAAGTTTTCCACCAATTTCAGTCCTGACAATGTGACAATGACAGCCAATATTGGTGAAAGTGGTAATTCATCAGTCAATACAGCGAGTCGTTTCCAGACAGGACATACCAGTCATTCAGCTAATCGAACTTCAGAATTAATAAGTACTGACTGTATGACCTCAGAAGCAGGGCCTTCAACTAGTGTTCCAACTGAGACAGATATAAGAAGCCGTAAAAGAAGATTGACATTTCTTAATTCTGGACACTTTCCAAGTATGAATCTTGAACACGAATTTGCACTTCAATCAAAGAAAGAATCAGTGAATACCGATGCAACTATAGCTGTTCTATGTGATGATCAATTCCTTAATACTCTTGATCTTGATGAGTTGGAGGCGCAGGCAACTTCTATTCTTAAACAGAAATCGGATTCTTCAAATCAGAAGCAAGATATAAGTCCTCCATCTCATGAACTGAACCTTGATATTATTATGACTCCATCATTCGATCTTGGTATATGATAAGCACTAGTGCAGTTCGATACTTGCACATTTTGGAAATTAGTTAATGTTAACAATCCGTTAGCAGTTCCTGTCTTTATCTTTATTGTATTTATGAGGGGACTATAAAAGATTTTGTAACAAAAAGAGCAAGAGTAAAATGTAAAGAATATTATATTTACTTTGAATAATACACTCAAAATCTTAGAATTACTTGGTTAAATGTCAATTGTACGTAGTCTGTTTTGAATTTTTTTTATAAAAATTAAAGTAGCTTTTGAAATTACTTTAACAAAGTACTCCCTCTGTTTTAAAATGAATATCATTTAAGGTTTTTGCATACGAATTAAGAAATACAATAATATTGTCGTAAGACATTGTATTTTTATTAAATTAACCCTATTAATGTATTAGAAGAAGTGCATAGACTAATAATTAAAAAATATAATTGGAAAAATAACAATCATTGCTACATTAAAAAATTGAAAAGTGAAAATGACATTTATTTTGAAATAATTTTCTCTCTCTAAAATGACGCTCATTTTAAAACGGAGAGAGTAATAAATATATAATTGAAGTATTTGTTGTGTTTTATAGTAATTCATTCATGAAAATACAATTGAAGAAAAAGTCATAATATACCAATTGATGTTAACAAACAATGTTCATCGTTAAACATTGTTTATTGTGAACTTTATTTTGCACACTCTTTATCACAGACTGATCATCTCACAAATAAATTTTTTTGTTGCAAAAAAGTAATTTATTTTGAGAAGTTGAATATTCGGGAGCAGTATTCTGACTCAGAAGAAGCTGTGCTTAGCTTCTGAGATTTGTTTTGTTTTAGCTTTGTTAGTAGTGCCTATTTAGAAATTTAGTTTGTGTATTTAAATAAATTTGTAACTAGTTTTTTATAAGTGAAATTACAAGATTTTAACAATAGAGTTTCTCTCTCTAAAAAGTTTGTTAGAACTTTTTTGTCTATCTTTTCTTTCTCTCTCTTCTTCCATCTTCATCTTCAACCTTGTGCTCCAATAATTGTATCTAGAGCTCCAGTTCGATTCACAGGAAAACACGAGTGTACGTAAGGCGTGTGTGATTGATTTAGTTTCTTGAATTTGCATTGAATTCACGATCGGTATTATAACAAAATTGCGTTTTTTGATTTTGCGGGATCGGAAAACACGAGTGTTTGGTGAGATCTGTTTGTGTTTCAGTGCACAAGAACGAAGATGAATGGTTGAAAAAGTTTGAATATAAAACTTCCAGTGTTTGATGGAAAGAATTAGAATCAATGGATGATTCAGACGTCCGTGTTGTTCAGTGCTCAAGACGTTCTTGATCTTGTCATCGACGCTTACGCTACGGTTGCAGCAGATGCGACAGATGAATAGAGAAACGCGCAGAGAGACACGAGGAAGAAATATCGTAAATCGTTGTTCTACATCCATCAGTGTGTGGATGTGAACGCGTTTGAGAAAATTGCTGATTCGACGACGACGAAGACCGCGTGAGATATCCTGACATGGTGCTACGACGATGATGCATTAGTGAAGAATGTGCATCTTCAGTCTCTATGTAAGCAATATAAGAATCTCAACATGAAGAACAATGAGAAGGTACATGCTTACATCTTTAGAGTGATTTTGATCACACATGAGATGAAATCTTGTGGAGAACTCTTTCCGAACAAGTAATTATTGAGAAGGTATTGAGATCTCTTACTCCTTAATTTGATTACATTATTGTAGCAATTGAACATTCTAATAATCTAAGCACCATGAGAATTAAAGAGATAAAAATAATCTAGAGGCACAAGAGTTGCGTATAGCTGAGAGAACCTCTGAAAGAGAGGTAGAGCAGACCCTGAAAGCTTCTTTCATCAAGAAGGACCAGAAGCAGTCTTGGTCAAAGGCCAAGAAAAGACATGGTGGTTCTCAGAAGTTTCCAACTCTAATGAGAATAAACATCAGAAGGGAAAGGAGAAGTCTTCCAAGATAAAGGTTCAATGCTACTGTTGTAATAGGTTTGGTCAGTTTGTTAAGGATTATTGATCAAACAAGCAAATGAAGTCAGAAGAGGCAAATACAGTCAGAGGTGATTTTGATGATAAACTTGTGCTATTGATGGCTTCTGATTCTGATGATGGATATTTGGTAGACTAATGGTATATGGAAACTGACTGCTCAAATCACTTAACTGGAAACAGACAATGACTGATTGATTTTGACTCCAAAAAGAGGACAAAGATCATATGTGCTGATGATAAATACCTTAATGCTGAAGGTATGGAAAATGTCAAAGTGAAGAATGGTAAAACTGTTATGATCAAGGATGTTTGATATGTTTCTGGCTTGAAGAGCAATATTATGAGTGTAGCTCAGCTCATTGAGAAGGGTTTCTCAACTATCATGAAAAACAACCTCTTGAAGTTGTATGACTGCCACCAGAAGCTGATTATGCAATCTGAGCAGGAAAGAAACATAACATTCAATGTGAATATGGAGACAACTAAAAGTAAATGCCTTAGTGTAAAAGGAGCTGGAGGGGACAATGAGCTATGGCACAAGAGATTGAGGCATATAAACTTCAGAAGCTTAGGATATCTGAGTTCTAAGAAGCTAGTACATGGCATTCCTAATATTGTGAAGTCTGAGAAGTCATGTGAGATATGCATGAAAGGCAAGCAATCCAAATTTCCATTTGTGTCAGAAGTATCCCCAAGAGCAAAGCATGTTTTAGGAGTAGTGCATTCTGATGTATGTGGATCATTTCCAGTACCTTCACTTGGAGAAAACAAGTATTTTGTATCTTTCATGGATGAGTTCACAAAAATGACATGTATAACACTCATAAAAATTTAAGCATGAGGTGTTTAATTGAGAAACAAAATGGTCAGAGGTTGAAAGTTCTCAGAACTGACGATGGAGGTGAGTACAACTCTACATAGTTCAAGAAGTTATGTGTGGATAATGAAATTGAGCATGAGTTTACTGTTCCATAAATTCCTCAACACAATGGTCTTGCTGAAAGAAGAAATAGAACTTTGCTTGATATGACAAAGAACATGCTGAAAGAGAAGAATCTGCCTCACACATTGTGGGGAGAAGTTGTTGTCTCTTCAACATATGTGCTCAACATGTTTCCAATGAAGAAGCTGAAGGAAACTACTCCTTTTGAGAAGTGGACTAAAGATAAACAAAGTGTGAATCATTTTAGAATATTTGGTTCTGTTTCTTACAAACATGTTCCAGATGCTAAGAGAAACAAATTGGATGATAGAAGCAAAGTAATGTTGCTGATTGGGTATACAGTACAAGTGCGTATAAGATTTCTTATCCAATCACTAACAAAGTTGAAGTCAGTAGAGACGTCATTGTGAAGGAGTCAAAAGCATGAGATTGGAGCAACTCTCAATCCAACTCTGGTGTAGTGTCAACACCTGAGTTAACTTCTGAAGATACTTTAGAATCTGAAGGTTTTGAAGATGAGTTAGAGTCAAAAGATGGCTCTGAAGCTGAATAAGACTCTGAAAACGAGTCTGACTTAGAAGGTGAATCTGATTCTGATGATGATCCATAATCTAGTGGTAATCACGCCTCTGAAGGTGAATCTTCTGAAGGTGGTCCAAATTCTGAAGGAAGTCCAAAAGGTGATACTGTTCCACAATTTGAAGAAGATCATGAATAAGTCCAAAGGCAACAAAGAATTAGACAGATACCGAGGACATTTACGGAGTTTGACATGTTGCAAGATACTAAGATAAAGTTTGAAGGAGAATTTGTTCAGTGTGCCATGTTAGTAGACTCTGAACCAGTTAGTACTGAAGAATCTCTCAAGAAGAAAGTATGGTTGAAGGCCTTGAAAGAATAACTCAAGGCTATAGAAAGAAACAAGACTTGGGAGTTGCCTGAGCTTCCAAAGGAGAAGAAAACCATCAACGTCAAATGGGTTTTCAAGGTGAAATTAAATCCAGATGGATCAATTGGAAAACAAAAAGCAAGGTTAGTAGCTAGAGGATTTCTACAGAAATATGGATTAGATTACTTTAAAGTGTTTGTGCCTGTAGCTAGACATGAAACAATCATATTGGTGATTGCTATAACTGCTAATAGAAATTGGCCTTTGATGCATCTGAGTGTGAAATATGCATTTCTGAATGATCTGTTACAAGAAGAGGTATACATGTCACAACCTCCTAGATTTGTAAAGATGAATAAGGAAGGGATGATGTACATGTTACATAAAGTGTTGCATGGACTAAAACAAGCTCCTAGAGCTTGGAATATGAAAATTGATTCATTTTTCATGCTGCAAGGATTTAGAAAATATGAGATGGAGTATGACGTTTATGTTCAGTATACTACTGAAAGCAATATAATTATTGTGTATCTCTATGTTGATGACATATTACTGACATGAATTGTTTAGATGAGATAGTCAAGTTCAAGAAAGTGTTGATAAATGAGTTTGAGATGACTGATATGAGAAATATGGTATATTTTCTAAGGATCAAGATTCTATATTCTGAGAAGGGTATAATTTTGCATCAGCTGAAATATAAACTTGTACTTCTGAAGAAATTTGAGCTAACAAATTGCAAGAATGCAATCACACCCGTTGAGATGAATCACAAGCTGGATTATGATGCTAAGGGTGATGATGTAGATGCTACAAAATTTAAACATGGCTCATTAAGATATCTGTGTAACACCAGACCTGACATTTGCTATGCAGTTGGAATGGTAAGTAGATTTATGAATAAGCCAAAGTGGTCACATTACCAAGCTGCTATCAGGATACTGAGATACATTAAATGGACTTTGAGGTATGGAGTATTATTCCCTTCTGGTGTTAAATCAGACTCAGTTGATATGCTATTCAGACTCTGATTGGTGTGGAGACAGAGTTGACAAAAGAATTACTTTTGGATATTCATTCAAGCATCTGAGAGGTCCTATTTCTTGGTGCTCCAAGAAGCAATTAGTGATTGCATTGTTAACTTGTGAAGTTGAGTACAT